GATGTATGCCATCCGGGCTGGTGATTTATCAATTTTTAAGTTGTCTATCAGTCGTAGGACCTCCTCTCTCATCTCCTCAGTCTGACTCAGGTCTTTCAACACCCCTCCCGAAATCAGTGGTTCTGGAGTGGGCAAGCACTTCTCATCTTCTGCAGTGAAGACAGAGGCAAAAATGCATTCAGCTTCTCAGCCATTTCCCTATCATCCTTCACGACTCCTTTTACCCCTTGGTCATCCAAGGGCCCCACTGCCTCCCTGGCTGGTTTCCTGCTTCTAATGTATTTGAAGAAAGTTTTATTGTTGGTCTTTACGTTTTTTGCTATATGCTCCTCATATTCCCTTTTTGCCTGCCTGACCACAGACTTGCATTTTATTTGCCATAGCCTGTGTTCTGTTTTATCAGCCTCACTGTTACTAGCTTTCCAGTGCTTAAAGGAATCCTTTTACACTTTCCATTACTTTGTTAACCATGCAGGCTTTTTCCTATGCCTATTTGTGCCTTTCCTAACCTGCGGAATATTTTTTTGGGGGGAGCTTCTAGGATTGTAGTTTTAAATAGTTTCTAAGCTTCCCCTATGGTTTTGACCCTTTCTACTTTTCCTTTCCGTTTCCTCCCCACATGTCCCCTCATATCAGAGAAGTTACCCCTTTTAAAGTTAAAAGTGGTTGTGTCAGTCTTTTTGGCCAATTCCCTATTTATACTAATGTAGAACTCCACAACATTATGATCACTGTTCCCAAGCAGTTCAATCACTTTTACATCTCTCACCAGGTCTTTTTGTTTTTTTAACATTTTATTTTCAGTTTTCATTAGTTACATACATTTATATGTCATGTTATAACAATTGGGGGTTAACATTCCAGATTTTCCTCGTACTATTTAATGGCATTTTGCCATTTCAGTTTAAATTTTTCCTCTGATTTTCCCGCCAAAAAACATGTTTAATTTATCCATTTCAATTACATCAAGTAGGTTGCTTATCAATTCTTCCCTACTCGGTATACAGTCCGATTTCCAGTTTTTTGCAATACATATTCTAGACATTGTTACTAAATATGTAATAATACATGTTTCATTGTATTTAAGGCCGTTTGGTATAATGTTTAATAAAAAGATTTCTGGTGTCAATGGTAAATCAATCCCTGTGATGTCTTTTATCAATCGTTTAGTAGTTTTCCAGAATCTTTGTATTTTTTCGCATTTCCACCATATGTGGAAATGTGTTCCTATGTTATTTTTACACCTCCCAACAGTTCCCTGAAACAGTTGCATAACATTTTTGCAATCTATCTGGATCTCTCACCAGGTCTTGAGTGTTACTTAGGACCAAATCAAGGATCGCCTCTCCTCTGGTGGGTTCTGTGACCATCTGCTTCATAGCACAGTCATTTAGAGTGTCTAGAAACTCAATCTCTTTTTCTCGACTAGAACACATATTGACCCAATCAATGTGTGGGTGGTTAAAATCTCCTATTACGACACAGTGTTTTTGTCTAGCTGCTATTTTTAATGCATTCATCATTTTATAATTCTCCTCTATCTTTTGATCTGGTGGGCGATAACAAACTCCCAGTATTAAGTTTCCTTTTGGCCCCCCTATTTCAACCCATAGAACTTCCAGAAGCGAATCCAATTATCTTAGCCTCTCAATCTTTCTGGACTTTATACCCTCTCTGACATACAGAGCCACCCCACCTCCAACCCTTCCCCCCCTGTCCTTCCGATATAATATATAACCGTGAATCACTGTATCCCAATGGTTTTCCTCATCCCACCAAGTTTCTGAAATACCCACAATGTCTATTTTTCTCTCCGACACCAAGCACTCCAACTCCCCGATTTTACCTCTGACACTTCTAGCATTTGTATAGAAACAGCTATAATTTCCCATACAAGTTAAGCCTGCAACCTTCCTCTTGCTATCTCAAGACCTTGTCAGGCAGTCCATGTCTAGCCATGGTCTCAGTGGACAATTTCAATCCTCCTCCCTGTAGAAAAGCAACAGGTACCCCCTCATCTCTCTGAGACGAGTCATCCCAAACCAATATTCAGTTTAAAAACTGCTCTGCCACCATTTTTATTTTAAGCACCAGCAGCCTGGTTCCTTCTCGGGAGAAGTGGAGACCGTCACACTTGCACAGCTCCCTCTTGTTCCAAAAAGCATCCCAGTGCCTAAAAAACTTGAAACCTTCCCCCCCCTACACCATCATCTCATCCATGCATTGAGACTCCTGATCTGTGCCTGTCTCTCCAGCCCTGCGCGTGGAACAGGTAGCACTTCTGAGAAAGCTACCTTGGAGGCCCTGGACCTAAGTTTCCTGCCCAGCAACCTAATTTCTCCTCCAGGACCTCACGACTGCATTTCCGCACATCGTTGGTGCCGACATGCACCACAACCACTGGTTCCTCCCCAGCACTATCTACCAGCCTATCTAAAAGTTCATAAACTTGTTCATGAGTGTTGATTTAAAGAGAGTGGAGATTTATTTCAAGGGTTCAATTCATTTTCCTGATTGCCTTGCACAGAATAGGGGCAATTCTCACTGTTAACCGTTTGTGGCAAATAGTCTCCATTTGTTCCAGATATAACCTGCTAGGTATACAGGTTGGCTGTTAGGAGGAAGGCAACACAGTGATATCATTGCTTGGTTTGTGTTTTCTCACAGTAGAGTGTCACTGCCCTTGGAGGGTGATGCCACATACCAGCGGAAGTTACGGCAGAAGCAACTGCAGCAGCAGTTTAGACAGCAGATGCAGAAGAAAGAGCAGATTAAATCAAATGCTCCAGCTGGTCAAGCTAGCAACCAAGGTAACACACTAGTTAGATTCTGTATCTGCTACAGCATGAAAAATTTGGAACAAGTAGGTCAAGAACTTGGCAGGTAACTGAGAGAGGGATAATAAACAAGTGTGTATTGTACTTATTCTAAATGAAAGCATCAATATAAGAACTTATTGAAAATGTATAATCTTCTGCTACTCTGGCCAGCAGAATGAATCATCTGTTGCTGCACAAAATGACCTGCTAAAAAGTATAAAATGCAAAACAGTACAATGAAGTTAGGGCAGCAAATTGCAATGTTTAATCAGCAGGTGATTTGCTGGTTATTAGTCAATTAACAGTCAGTTGTAGCTGATCAGTAATTGGTGGAGCTGCAAAATAAGAAGAATTGCCTGTTACTGTTACTTTTTTCTCTTTAACAAGGAATGGTAGCTACTAGGGAAGAACATCTTTTTTCTCTTTAACAAGGAATGGTAGCTTTTGTTTCCTTCATTTGGAATAAAACTCACCCTCATTTAGGGTTTCGTAATGTACAGATTTTATCAGTTCTTTCATCAGTTAAATCTGCTAGAAGCCAGGTGCCCATTCAGTTGACAGACCTAAATGTTTTATTAAAAAAACAAACACAGAATAGAGCCTTAACCAACCTGACCATCTTAAACAAGTTATAACACTTATAAAGAAAGTTATACAAATCTAGAGACTAATAAGGCACAGCATATCTCAGAAGCAGCAGCAGACTGCCTTCATAAATGGAACAAGCTCACAGAGAATTTCTTCTTGTTTATATAATTATCACATGTCCTTGAATTAAAGTCCAAAATTCATTTTTTTGCCTTGCGATGGCTCTTTGTCAATAAAACTCAAACAGCCATAATCTCCTTCTTGCCATACTTCAAAGACAGATAATGTGTGCATGCATGATGTCATCAGTTTGCCTTCTTCCACTAGCAGCACTAATCAACTTCTTGTTTTTGTTCAAAAGTTCATAATGTCTCTCCTACAAAGCGCAGCACTCCAGCCCAGCTAGAACCTACTTTGGAAGAGGAGTTCCTTGCAGGTGAGTACAGAACTGTATACTGGCCAGTGGCAAGTTTCTGTGAAGTAATAACTTAAGACAGCACAGTACATGCAGGCACAAACAGCCCTTTTCCCAGGCACTCCTCCTTACAGAACTGGTTTGGTGGTGAATTGGGATCTCAGAAAGTATACCTGAATGACTGGAAAAAGTAGTGGGCAGGGGAGATTATATTTACATGGGAGAAATGGTGGGTGTAGTAAGGGCTTAGTGACCTTCATCCTGCCTTTGCATTTCTAATCCTTTGGCAAAGAACATCTAGTCTGCTTCTTGTATAGATGCTCCTGTTACAGTTTAACTCAGTTGTCAGTTGTAGATGGGATTGATCGTAGTTGGCTTTACCTGCCCTGTTAATGGTTGTTTCAGATGACCCTGGGCTATGGGACTTGCCCTTGGAGGCCACTGACCCCAGTGTTACCAAACACAATGCAGCCCCTACTATGCCAGCCCAGCATCCAGGGCAGTATCAGATGATGACTCGCAGCAGAACACCTCAAAGAATAAGCCATCAAAGAATATATGCAGACCATGGACCTTGCTGGGCATCCATTAGTCCCAAACCTTACTCATCAGGTAAGTTATGTGAAAGATGGGAGAATATGTCTGGCACAGAAACTCAAGACTCTAACTATGTGTGCGGCAGAGGGGAACCAAGGCATATTGCTGTGTAGGATATAGACTCCCTTTTTCAATGAACAGGTGGGGCGGGGCAGGACATATCTAGGCATGGTTGCATGTTTTTGGCTTAGCATGCTCACGGAGTGATCCAGTGTAGCATTACTCCTTTTTAAGCCCATTAAAATCAATGAGCTTAGACAAGAGCAACTTTGCATAGGGTTCCACTGTCAAGTTGCTAGTTCCACTGGCTTCAGCTTTCTAAACAGTGTCTGAAGCCTGTGAAGAGGAGAGAGAAAGGGCCTCTTCAGTGCTTCTGAATATATGCTGTAATAAGATTAAATCTACAGTCTGGAGTTCAATTCCTTGGAAGCTGTTCAACTGAATTAAATATGATTTGCTTCAAAGTAAGTGTGTTCTGCATGTAATTAGCTTTTATTATTGGCAGTCCTGTTTGGAATTTTTAAACTGTTGTTTGTATGGGTTTTGCATTTGTTGTGTTTTTTATGTTTTATTTTATTTGTAAGCCTCCTTGAATTCTGCAAGAGAGCACGTGGCTAATAAATGTTTTAAATAAATAAAAATAAATAATTGTAAAATTCAGGCTTGAGCTAGGAGAATGCTCTCCCAAAGAGAACATGATTGCTCCACATGAGAGAAGAAAGTTATACAAACAGGCTCTGTTGTATAAAGGAGGGGGAAAACTCTTAAGGATTTGTTTCCTTTTTAGCAGAGTGCAGTCCATACAGGAGGAGCCAAGGCATGAAGAAGAGAAGACTGGAGCCCTCTTAGCACAGGATGAAACATACTTGGCTTTGCTCTATTTGCCAGTTTGGTTTGCCTGCAATTTCAGAATGCGGAATATTCCTTTACTAAATGGACATCCAAACAGCACATATAGAAAGAAAACAGTGTACGTAGAGTTTGTAAGATGAGACTGAAGGTTTAAAATCACGTTATTCCTAAACTGTCTTCAGATCACAACCCTACTATCTTGTTCTGGCTTGACACAAACTCAAATGTGAATACAATACTGGGGTGTTTTTTTTGCCATTTTTCTTTAACTGAAGGCCACCTTTGTAACTAGTATGAGCCTTGTGCTACAAGATGCTTAGTTGGCTCTGTGATTAAGGAACAGGGTAAGCTAGTTTTAAATTAGTTATTTGCTCTGTAAAAATGCATAGAGAAATATCATATCAAATAGTTGAAAGGCACTTACCACATTTTAAAGCTGTACTTCTGAAACCAACTTTCTGTGGAATAAAATTGTTTTAAGTGTTTGCCCCTTTAGGTCAAGCCACTACAATTATACAATGCTAGCCCTTTTACTAAAGCAATTAAATAAAAGCTTTGATTAGTAAAAAGTTTTTTTCCAAGTCTTCAATTAACCTTTTGCATTTTCAGATCTAGAAATCTCTTTAACCACGTGCAACCTGAAGATCTACTTAATTTTTGGCCATATAGCTCTCTCTTGTGCTCTTGAATATTGGAAATTAAGGGAAAAAATGGTGGTACAATTATTTTTATAGGCACTAACTTAAAGCCAGTGTGGAGGTGGGAAATCAGTGAAGGATCTTTCTAAAATTTCTAAAGAGAAACAAATGCTGTCTAGTACACTGTGACTGATCTGAATTTTTGGAGCCCTGAGTGATTATCTCCCTTTAAAATGCCATGAAGTTCTATAAGGGATCACTCAGTGTCATATTTTGTTTGGTCCTTTGCAAGCAATAAACCCTTGGCCTCTGATATACACCTGCTGTTCCCAGAAGTCTCTGAACAGACAAGGATTAATTCTTTTACCAGTTCCTTTGGGAAAGATATGGCCTTAATGGGCTGCAGTAACTTTACACTGCTGAAAAGGATCATTCTTCCAGCTGGGTGGGTGGGGGTTTCCACTTATTTCTTTCTTCTACCACAGACCTTCACAGTGAAACCCAGTGTTGCTCCTGGAGGTTCTCTGCACTAGTGGGGGGGTTAGAGTCCCATAAACCGAAAATTATGGAAGTTAACCCTTTGTTGCTTGTAAGGAAACAGCCTCCTCTATCCTAATTATAGTTTTTTAATAGTAGCAATAATACTGTAGAAAAGAAGCTGATATTTCATCTAAACACACTCTGTAAGGGAGAATAAAATGACAAGGTCTCAGAAATGAATAATATTAGGAGTAGGATGCTTAAGGGAAGCTGCATGGCATTTTTTGTGGTCCAAACAGATGGCTAAAGGGTCAAACCGGATCATCTATTAGCAGGCTTAAAAATTTTGAACATTAAACTGTTTGTGTAGTTTGTTCCAATTAAAAACTTCAAAGTAGCATAGGAAGAGTCTTGAAGCATATTTTTAAGTTTATAACCTCCTTGTGAGAGACAACTGTCTGAGGGGGATGGTCTTTCTCTCAATATAATGGCTTCTCCCCTCAGCACCAGAGAATGTGAACAATGGACTATTGTTAAAAACTTATGTGGGCCAAGCTGAACCTTTTCATTTGTGAATGGATACTGTCATCGTTCGATTACCAGAGTATGACCACAATCAAAACAGGCATATCCCTGTGACCCTGGTTCATAATGTGCCATACAATCCTAGGAAATGGTCAAAAAGGTCAGGCAGAGGTTATATAGCTGTGCAAACCTGTCCGTAGGGAATCATCACTAGAACTGCAAACTGGGCCGTTCCCTCTCAGGTGACAAAAGCCAGAAAACCTGACCACCTACAGATAAGGCTAAAGTCTCTTCTTCCTCAGGGGACTTCACAGGTATGTGGTGAAATGACTTTCACTGCTGTAGTATATTTTAGTCATCAGGTAGGTGGGTGTTTTGGTTAATTTACAACGTTTGTGAGAGTTCAGAGAATAATGGGCGGAGGAATGGTATGTCAAAATTGCACCCTGCACTGGTATGCCTAATGGGCCTCCAACGTTTTAGAACATTATTTCAAGATAATACTGCTTCCTAGTCACAGTAGTGTGCTCTGTTTTAATAAGGGGGCGGGGTAGACTGCACTTATCTTTTCCAGTATTTGAAATAGACAAAAGCTGCCTTTATCATCACACAGTTCTAAAGTATTACGACAAAGACAGGTACATGCATTGTCCTTCCAACCTTTTTTCTTTTGGATCTAACACTACAGATTTTAGCCAGTTTTAATCTGCAATAATCAAGTAGCCCTTTAGTTGACTAATCAGTGACACTATAGGAAGGGAATTGGCTACAGTATAATCTGGTATGTGTAGCAAGTGGAACTTCACAAAGGGCAGCCTAACCTTCAACAGTGTTGTTTTAAAATCTTCACTCTCTGAGGTACATACTGAGGTTCTGATAATATGCTAATTTAAGGACTATGCAGTGGAACCTTGAGTGACAGCCCTGGTTGTTTTTACAGACTATATTACTTCGTGGTAACAAGAAAGACCAAAATATCAAGTACGGTCTTTCTTCCTACCCACAGCTGAGAAACTCCTTTCAGTGCTGAGTTATGCCGAAGTGTAATGGCCCTGTTAGTGGAATCCCACCATGCAGGAGGCCCTTTCGGTAGTCTTCACAAAAGGAGCGTCATGCTTTGGACTGGCACACACACCCCAGTCCAGATTTTTACGCAGTCCCTCCTCTGCTACTGGCAGTCAGATGCCTTTCAGGGTAACTTGTTTGGTTTCAGTACCACAAGCATGCTTCCCCCATGACCCTAATTGCAGCTTTGAATGTAAGCGAAGCGAACCTTACCTCTCTCGAAGCAAGTTGAGCAGCAACAACTATGTTTCGCCGTGTATCATATTTAGCAAAGCTTCCTGGGAAAACAATTTAGGAAAGCCTACAGGCGAATACTTTTAACAACTTGGGGATTATCCAATAGCCAGTGGCAAGACTACATTTATATCGCCAAAGAAATGTTTAGGAGAGTAAACTATATCTGTCATTCAAGTAATAGAATCGAACATCTTTGGAAATAGGTGTGCCTAATTTTTTTTCTTGCAAGAATAACAGGGCAGTGTATGCAAAGGTTCAGAAAGAGACATGCTGCAGTCTAAACACTAAGCAGTTTTCTGGGAATCGTCTCTTTCATTTTTTTCCTCACCTGAAAGGGAATAGGAATGCCTGCCTGGTGTGTGACTGAATAAGGTGCAGTGCAATTGGTAGCCCAGCTTTCAGTATCTTGCATCTCTCCCAAACAGGTTGCAGAATTCAGCTTTCCTTGGCACACATTTTCTCAGTGATCCTAAGTAATTTGCTCTGGTTGGATACTGTCCAGCATTTCTTAACACTGAGATCTGAAGTAGCGAGTAGCACTGTGATGACTGGCTACTCCACCGTGTGGTCACTGTAACATGAGCTCCCTGGAAGATAAACGTCTGGGGACAGTAGGAAGGAAAAGCTGGCTGAGAATGGGGGGGAAAAAAAACACAGCTCAACAAAAGCAGGTTTGGTTTATTTGAATGATTTCATTAAATATCTACAAAGAAGGTAACAAACTGCAGCACAAAGCGCAATCATACAGGAAGCGCAATGCCTGGATTTAGTGCAAAACATACCATTAACTACGGCCAGGGAAGCCCAAGGTTTGAATTCATTTTATTTCTTTTTTTTTTTTACAGTGTACATTGTTAAATAATGTAAAGAAAACATCTGTAATTCAGAAACAGATCTCGTGGAAAAAGGTACTCAAAGTGTAATATTAACACAAAATAATTTAACAGTTCAGTAGCATTAGTTTATTCCTCTAGACCTCAGTTTTTTCATCCACAGGAGGGTAATCAATGGTAAATAAAACCAGCTCTTGCATAACTAAGTGAAAACCCGACCTCAAGCATCTTAAACCAAAATACCACCCTTGTGCAACACTCAGCTGACTAGTCCCTCTACCGTGAAGTGGTATCTCTCCTTATTGTTCCTTTGTTCTTTCTGCACATCAACCTCATTTTGTGTCTTCACAAAGCTTTTCAGTTCGTTTCCTCTGCAGGAAACCCCCCGCCCAGTCTGAAAAGTTGAAACCTAGCCCACTAGACTTCATTCTTTTGCTATCTGACCCACATACCCCAGCCCTACCCTTCTTTCTGATAACACAACTGTAAACTTCAACGAGGTGAAAGAAAAGAAAAACCTGTGCATATGTTTGAGGGAAGAGTGAACTAGGTACAGAAAGAACAACTCCCCTGCAACCTCAGAGGAACTTCAGGAAGTTAAAACCTCCTTAGTAGACTTCCAGACCAGCAGCAAAGCTGCTCCCAAGTACACAGCAGAACTACTTCAACCCTTTGCAGCCTGCTGCAGCAACAGAGAGTAATACTAGCTGGTTGCAGTATTTTGTTTGAATAGGGGACCAATATTTTACGTTAGAAAGGCGGTGGCGAGTGGCAAGTAGGAGATACAGTACATCTACTAGAAGGCAACACAGTTAGTTACAGTCCTGGTACCAGTTTTAAGTCCTTTAGACATGGAACAAAATTATAAAGACAGAGCAATTTTTTTATGCTGGCTGTTTCAAGTGTATCCATCATTGGAAATGGATAGTGTTACCAGGAAGTTCTGCTCCTGGCTTTTGTGGACTGAATTAAAGGGGGGGGGGATCCCAGCAGACACTCTCCCTTCCCAGAGTTATAGCTCCAACAATTTTACATCACCCTTCTTTCCCCCGCCTGCAAAACCTTTACTACATCAAGCTTAGAAGTCAAACCACCCACAGGAGCTGACCCTTTAAAGGGGGGGGGGGGGGGGGGGGTACAAAAATGCTTCCTCCCTGTTCCCTCTGTTCTTTTCCAGCCCAGCTTTTACTCTGGTCACATATTCATTCGTTTTAGCATTTCCACATTAAGCCCTCATAGCCATTGTGTCATCAACCTCATATGTTCCCCCTTCACTCCATAACTTTACTCTTCCAACATACAGCTGCAGTAGCTCCCCATCCAACACCTACTCTAGACACTATTGCAGTATAAACATCCAATGTGTTAACCCTTTGGTATTCCAGTGACTATGTCCAAATAACCTCCATTTCCCTCTGCCTGTCTAAAGTCTGCTGGGATGGTGATGCTAACTGCAGAAGCAATAAAAGTCCAAGGCACTAAAATATCCAGCAAGCATACTGGGAGAACAGACAAGTATTCAAGTACATTAATTTATACAATTATACATTCACATTTATCTAATACAATGAAAATACAAAGGAAAAAAGTTAAAGTGTCTCCAATAAGTATCAGGATATAGCGAGCTTTTTTCCCATTTTTTTTCCTTTTAACTGTTTAACCCTCTATACTCCACTCATTTTTAAACTACTGTTGTCCAACAACATTTATATATCACAGTGTTTCCACATCAAAACTGATGGTAAGTACATGTCCGCAGGGAACTTTTAAAAATTTATCTTCTAAACAATTTTAAATTGCTCTAATGCTGCAGTCGAAGCTGTTAAAAAAATGTTAACTTTAAAGCAGTAATGACCTATCTCAAAGCATGGGCTGTTCTGCAAGTCCACCTCTGTGTCCCATCATCTCAGGAACTCCAATGTGATGGTTTGAGGGAAGGGAGAGAAGATGGGAACATGGAGAAGCTTTTCCCTAAGCTTGATTCCTCAGAGCAAGACAAACAGCATACTAAAGATTCATGCTTGAACAAACAGCAACTCTCTCAACCCACTGTAGATTCAGCCTCTTAAACCCAATGAGTTTTATAAGAGGCCACTGGTTTGCTTGGTGACTTCCATCATTACATACTTTGCCACATACAAGAACAAGAGGAAGCATGTCCCGTCATGGAAGATCCTGATCACCCTTCTCCCCATCTTCAGAATGGGGGGCTTTTCTTACTGAGAGCAAAGAGCAATGGTTAGAGGGGGATTCGTTCCCCTTTGGGCACTAACAGCCAGTTCATTGCAGCCTAATTGTTGATTCAGGGCCCCATCTCCCCCCCAAGTTCTACCCAGCAGTGTGTCTGGGTCTCATTAAGTGGTCCGCAGATTAGAGCCTGGGGGGTTGCTGATAGATTTCTGCAAGTTGCTGATGTTGAAGCTTTGCAATGAGGCAGCTCCAACAGGCTGGAATTGGCCTAAAGGCTGCAGTGCTGGACCACCTGTCCCACTCCAGGGAGCTACAAAGGGCACTGTTGGGAAACCATACGGCTGAGGGGGGCACATGGCCTTTGTGAAGTGACCTAGGGAGGTAGCTGACGCTGCAGAGATGGGTGTAGCACCAAGAGAGGATGTCATCGAGATGCAGAGCTGGCTTGGTGCAGAGAATTTCCTCGCCATTCCTGGGCCCTAAAACAAAACCCAGCCCCAAAAAGAAGTTATTCGAGAGCTGCTAGCAAAGTATTCTCTTCAGAGTCCGCTCTGTACCTTGATAATGTTTCATGAGCCTTCTCATGAAACAGATCCTCCTGCTGCACAAGTTTGTGTGACTGTGTGCCTCACCCATGCAGATAAACACGATAACCAAGGGTTCATCAGTGATCTGTAGCATTAGCACAGGACAAGAACTTACCTCGTAATTGTTATGGCCCTTGCTGTTCTTCTTGCCGGAGAGGCTCATGGCATCACGAGCCCAGTTGTCCACTAGCTTGTGCAGGTCATCCGTAAAGGTCCCCTTCCTGCTAGAGGCAGGAGGCTGAGACTGAGGTGCCTGGCTGTTCACTGTACCGCCGACTGTATTAGTGCTGCTGGTCCCTGGAATGACAAAGCAAGCGCTGTCACTTAAAGCCGGGCTTGATTATATTTTCCTACAGGCCACCAAAACGAAAGCTAAGATGGAAAACGGAAGAGAGCAAGATATTTAAAAGGCCATGCACATGAATTCTGCAGTTCAACACGAAGACGTAATGGAGAGGAAGGGCTTTAAGGGCTCAGCGCTAGCACTCTCTCTTATTAGGTTAATTATGCGATTGTGTGTTATTTTCCAGGGCAGTGGGTGCTCAGTGAAGTTGCCATTTTCCACTGGGGGGTGAATTAGCTTTTGGTATTAATGACATGATGAATAGTTTGCTCCGCGTCAAGTTAACAAGCACTTATTATATGGGATTAATGCCTCCACCAGCTCTGCCCACTCAACAGAGCAGGAGGAAGTACTCTCAGCATGGACTGCTGCTCCAGTCTGCAGATGGAGAATATGGAGCCCCAGGCACTCAAGACTGGAAAAAGATATTTGTATTAGGGGCAGCAATCCTCCAGTGAGGATGCATCAAGGAGCTGTGGGTTTAACGTCCACCAAGTACATCTAAATTTCTGTTCTGTTCTGTGACAAACATGCAGTGGAACAGTGAAATAATTTTTATAAAGCTTCAAATTTTTTTAAAGCTCATAACTTATTCAAGAAGCAGTAAACTCAGTGCAAGCGTTTAACAATACTGAGAGTCTAGGTAGGACATTATTTCCCGTTTATTAAAAATGCTATTAGAGCCAGTAAGGCAAATGTGTTGCCCAATATTACACAAGAAGTCTTATCTGGGGAAGCCTGACATGCAGTCCAAATATTGTACTGATCAGGAATAAATCCCCAGTCCTCTGGAAGTCCTTCCCATTCAACACAAGAAGAATATTTGACCCAATGCTGAACACTCATTAAACTAGCAGGAGATAACACAGTAAGTTCAAATAACTTGCTTCTAAAACTAATGAAGAAAATGTATTGCAATTAAAACTGTAAAAAAAAAAAAACCCTGACAAGAATGAACCAAGGCCTCCTTTGCACCAGATCACATCCACAAACTCTGATAATCCACTCCTGCTGTTTAGGAGTGTGACCTTGTTGTTAGGAATGAAGCCATAGTAACCAGCAACAGAATTTTGGAGGCCTGCTTGTGAGAGAAAAAACTGGCCTCCCTGAATCCAGGTCAAGTGAAACTTTACTAGGGTTAAACCAGATGCAATACAGAAACCCAAAGTCAGGACCTCATGTAGTGCTGCTTTCAAACCAATCGGTAGCTCATCAGCTGCTTTGAAGACTGGGGGAGAAAGATGGAGCACGGCTGGAAGGGAGACCGCTCCCTGACGCTTTCCCCAATCTTCAGAGCAGCCAACTGGTGCAGCTATTCAGCTAAAATGTGGGGAAACCTTATCATGGATATTCCATTTTGCATCTAATTTGCCCCTCAGTTACAGCAACTGAGCAAGGTGCCACTGCACTATGAAATGTGAACAAGCAGAGACAGCACTCATTCAGGTGGCAAAAAGCCCACCCCATCCACCCGGTGCTAAATACTGGTGTTAATCTGCCACATGCAGAAATGCAAGGAAGTGGAAAGAAAAAACAGAGTCTTTTGCCCAGGTGAGGAGGAGTCAACAGTGATAAGATCATAAATGTGTAACATGTAAAGGGAATTCCTCTCTGTAACATAACAAATCTCAAGCAAGTGATACAAGCAGAATTGAAACACACATACATGCACATACATCTCATAAAAAAGCAGGCAGGAGAATAACCAGCACAGAAACACACAACAGTGAACAAAAGCATCAAAAAACAAACAAAAACCAACAAAAACCTTGACAGGGGTGGGGGGATCGGTGCATTCTGCAGTTAAAACATTCTGTGCAAGGACCAGTATGTAGTCTTCAGACCCCTCCTGATGGCCAGAAATTCCATTCTTCTTGCTGGGTATTTATAAAACCCAAAAAAATCAATACACATCTCTAAGCTACCTTCAAAGATATCTGGCAAATATGGGATAACTTAATGTTCTGTAATAGTCAAGAAGTTCCAGAGTGAGAGACAATATTTTAATGCTTGGTTGGATTTGTTTCTTTTCAAAGCTGTTGATAATGCAATGTTCAGATAGCTAAGACAAAGAGGAAGAGGGGGAGAGAGAAGGATCACAAGCTATATCGGAAAGCCACCTTCTCCTCTGGTCTCTGGTCTGGTAAGAATGGATTTCTGAGAACTGCTAAGCCATCAAGAAGAGTCTGACAATTGCCTAGATCAGTGGCCACGGAAAACAACGTCCCTCTAATCTTGCTCAGTCACAGCAAACATTTAGATTCTTACTTTTTGTTCTTTATACTACAGAACAAAACCAGGTTCATCTGAAGGCCTCGGGCCCTGTCATGCAACCCTCCATTTTAATTCCACCAATTTGTTTCAGAGGTAGTTTACCACCAGTAATCTTGCCAATGATGGCCCCTTTTGCCATGTTGCAGGTACACTGCGGACATCTGTGTGCTTGTCTTCCCTCTTTAAGGTATGGAAGTACTGTCTGCAACTCTGTGCAGTGCTGAGTGAGGCAAGCCCCCTTCAGGATAGTCATCATAAGCAAATAGCCCACACAGACTGTTCATCCCAGCCCAAGATGCAAAACGTTACTGGTGCAAATACAGATCCAAAGATCACTACTCAACAGCAAGGAATCCCAGAGAGGCGAGGCTGACAGCTGCAACAAGCCTTTCTAGCAACCCTTAGCAGTCACACGGTGTCCAGGCCTAGTGCCACGTTAGTGCAGCAACACACTGGAAGAGGTAACGGAGACAGATGAGACAGATGCTGTGCTCAAGACAGATTCAGGGAGGTTAAGCTTCAGAAAGCTCGAAACAGCAACTTGGCACTGGCAATCAGAGTTCAGAAATAACCAAAAATGCAATAATTACTACAGAGCTGGTTGCAAGGGCAGACTTTTTTCACCATCTTCCCTGAAGCACAAAGAGAAAGCAATTTGTTAAAGAGAGACAGTGAGAAACATTTAGTGTTAAGCAAACAGCACAAAAGCCCGGTGCGAAAGCAGGGAGGCCACAACAATGCACTATCCCTCGGTGGACAACTGTGACTCTTTCAGGAGCTCCTCCATCTGAGGCTGTATGGGTGGGTGATCCGAGAAAGGGCCTTCTCAGTCATGGCATGAAAACTTTAGGTCTCCCTCCCCAGGGAAATCTGTCTGTCTCCCTCTACTGATGTCTTTCACCAGCAGGTGAAGACCCCAGTAATGTCCACTGGCCCTTCTTCCTGCCACTGATGGTGTTTATGTGTTTTTATTGAATTACTTTATAATTTTAAACATATTTTAAATTGCTTAAATGCTTCTTCTGTTCCTTGCCGTGGGCACCCTGATCAGGTGGAAAGGTGGCACATATGTTTTAGATAACAGTGGCATCCGTTTGAAGGAAGTAAATCAATATTAATATTAGGGGGTGAGCGGTATACAAATTGAAGGATAAATAAAAAATAAATAAATATTTTGTTACATATCCCTCTATTTCTTAGATTTATTAGGACTGGGGCTTGGTCACCGAACCCATCATTAGGGCTTTGACTCGGGTAGACACACCACTTGGGTTAAATTTTTTTTGAAGAGTTCAGGTTCTATTCCTGCTTCGAGAAAACAAAAATTTAGTCCAATTAAGACTTGGAAGACAAGAGAAGCTGATTCTGAAAACCTGATGCACAATAAAGGCAGAATGTGTCGTCACATCACAGTCAATTCATGGCGACTGCATGAAGTTCTACCTCAGGGGTGAGGCAAAAGATGAGCAGAGGTGGTTTGTCATTGCCTTCATTTACACATGGTGGTCTCTCATCCAAGAACTGACTCTGGTCAACCTGTCTTAGCTTCCAAGCTCTGAAAAGACCAGGTCTGGGCTATTAAGGCTGCTAGATGCACGTTTTCCTGGCTGAAAGATGAGCCTTTACAGCCTTCACAGCCCAGTTTACTATTTCCAGGAATGTCAGTGTCACCAGAGATAGGAACAGACCTATTGAACCTCTTCTGCTTTTTCTCCAGCTATACAGACAAATACATCTGTTATTGAGCCCAGCTTCCTAATGTATAACAAGGGTCTTCCCCCATGGAAACAAGAAACCTGTAAACAAACACAGCATCGAGCCAAGCCGTGCTTTTACAAGTAATGCCCACATTTACAGGATAGCTGCAATAAACTGAGGGAGCAGCTGAGGTTGTGTCTACAGCCCCCAATCATCATTTCCTGTGTCTCCTCATCACAAAAAGAGTTTCTTGCTGCCTCAAAAATGATGCATAAAAACTTTAGAACAGCGTGTAATGCACGACATGAATTAGCCACATCTTTGCTATTAGCTTTCTTCCAAGACTTCCTGATATATCATTAATTACTGTTTAACACTTCCCAGGATAATCTAACTACTGCCACTACCTACAGAGCTATCTGTTTGCAGAACCCTTTCTCCGTGCCATAAGCTAACTGTACCAGAACATTTGCTTTCAAGAAGCCCAGAATGGGAATTCCATGCTTTTGGTAAGAGTATAAAAGTTGCTGAAAAGCAAGTTTACCAAAGTCTAACAAGTACCGCTAAGCTGGTAGATCCGGGTGGTCAGCCATGTTGGTCTGAAGCAGCAGAACAAATTTAGAGTCCAGTGGCACCTTTAAGGCCAACAAAGTTTTATTCACGGCATGAACGTCCGTGTGCACGCACACTTTTTTCAGATACACTGAAAGGAAGGTAAGGTTCAGACTGCTAAGGTGATAGTTCAGCTTCCCAGAAACCAAATTGGATTATATCATTATTCCCATTGCAGCTGTCCTTGGAAACTGCTGCTTTGCTCATGGGTGACAGACAGAAAAATCCCCGGCCTGGCTGAGCTGCTGCTTGGTGTACCACATTGACAGATGCCCTTAATTAGCACATTTGCATTATCTGGCAGGATGAGAGGAACAGCAGCATTTATTATCACACCCAGGAAAGGATGCTCTGCCCGCTTCATTAACAC